TTGGGAGAGCAGGTATCGCAGCAGATGCCAGAGAGAAGTTCAGTTCAGTTTGAAGTCACCATTGAACATCACACCCAAGGGTATTCTGGAGGAGACACTATGGGATCTAGAAAGTACCAGACCCAATTTCTGTGGAGATGAACCTGTACGTGGCATTAAAACAAAAAGGAAAGCAACTCAAAGTCAGTGCTGCCAGTAAGTCAGTTCCAACTACAGTGACCGTGCATGTGGCATTCCAAAAACCAAACTCACTGCCATTGAATCCGCGGTGATGCATCATAGTGACCTATAAGACAGGGTAGCACTGCCCCTGTGAGTTTCCCAGACTGGAACTGTTTACCAAAGTGGGAAGTCCCACCTTTCTCCAAAGTAGCAGCTGGCAGTTTTGAACTGTGGACCTTTGGATTGCAGCCCAATACGTAGTCACTGTGCCACCGGGGCTCCATTATATGTAGCATTAGGAAATTATAGATTCACAAGAGAAGGATTCTCACCAGTACGACATTGCAGAGTGGAGATAGTAAAAGTTGCTAGTTAATAGTGGGATGGAAAATTTCACTACTCCTTGAAGTACTCAGTAAAAGTTATGGTAGATAAAGCACTCTCTTCTCATTATTTGTGAGACATAAATGGTTGAGCTATGGGAGGCGTTATATTAGGACCTGCCTTGGGGGTACGCCAAGAGAAAAATCAGGAAGAGGGCTCAGATTCATCTTGGTTAATCTCAAACCAACTCTGTCTTTCCGACTTCCTTTTGTCATCTGACCTCAGACACTCTGGTTGCTGATCTTACAGTTCCTTTGTGGTTGTCTTGGGATGCATGGGAGTATGGAGTTTGTTTGTTTTTTTAATCTGTTCTGAAAGTCTAATTTCTTTTGGAGAAAGTTGGGCCCCAAATGCTGTAAGCTGCCTCTGCCTACCTTCCGAATATGGGCCATTCAGAAGAGTAAAAAGGGACGTTGCCTTCTTTCTTGATAGAAGATGGATTCTAGCTGGAATCTTCTAGATCAGTGTCCAGCCGATTACGGGCTCATCCGGACCTTGTGCTTCCTCCTAAAGTCACTTACGTGTCGCCATTGCTTGGGGCCCTCAGGCTGGTGCTAGTGCTGCTATGGGTGCTCGTGTGGAGTGCACTTGGATGGTGGTAGTGGCAGTTGTGACTCCCTGCTCCTCAAAAATGAATTGTGCCACCCAGCTTGGTTCTTGACCAAGGGTCCCCTCTGCCAGCTGCTGTTGCCCTCTGTGCCTGTGAAGGGTTTTGCCATTGGTCACAAAAAAGACTCTCATTCAAAGTTGTAAACATTTCTGTCTGCGCAACTTTGCTAACTGCAGACATGGTGTTCTCTGTTATCATTGAGAATATAACTTCTGGTGGGAAGTTTATAAAACGCTTCTCAAAGGCATTGTTACCCGTGTGTGATCCCTTCCTTGGTAAAGCCTGCAAATCTCTCAGCTTTTTCAGGCCTTTAATTATCTCATGAGCTGAACAAAGATGCATAAAGATTCTCTTCCTCCTTCCCAAGGTAGGGGACTCCAAGCCTTTGGATACTTTCAGCGGGGTGGGGATGGGAGGGGGGGTTGTCCAGGAGGCTAGCCTAGCCTTAGTATCTAGTTTTCTGGGGCCTGAAAGTCTGAAAGGGGTGTGTGAAGAGCCTCTGAACACAAGCTTGTGGCAGGGTCTCGCTGCTCATGTCCTCCTCACATACTCATCTCTCACGGCACACTCTCTCTTTCTCTGGCAATGTCCTAAATTGGGACTTTGTGATTCTGGGGCATCTAGTCCTGAGCTCTAAGTGGTGCTGTGGTAACTAGTGAGCTTCACAGTCTCAGGCGTTTCCCAGAATGGAAGCTTGTCTTATATACAGTGTCTTCTGTGGGTTGTATGGTTGCTCAGCTTGTGGCTACCTCATCCCAAACACACGCCCCGGGCTCTTAGTGATCTTACCTCAGAAGTGATGCGTGCTATTTCCCCTTCCCCTCCACTGCCCATTGGCCAAAAGGTGGCCCCTACAAAACTGAAAGGGAGGCTGGGAAAAACCAACAAGGGAGCCCAGGAGCATGCAGTGAGCATTGGCTGTCTCTGTCACATCTTGGGCTAGCTTGCGTCTTCGAATCCCAGAATGCTATGGGGCCCACAGGAGGCTGAATGGTTTCTGTAGCATGTGAAATACCTATTGAGGACCACCATTCAAACCAAACCAAATTCATTGAGTTGATGCTGACTCGTAGTGACCATATGAGTTTCTGAGACTGGAACTCCGTATGGGAGTAGAAATCCCCAATTTTCTGTCTCAGAGCGGCAGGTGGTTTGGAACTGCTGACTTTGTGGTTAGCAGCGCAACGTGTAACCACTACACCACCAGGGCTCCCTGAGGAACACCAATAGGATCCTGGAAAACATCTTAGAGCAACAGTTCTCAACCTGTGAATCTTGACCCCTTTGGGGATCGAATGGCCCTTTCACAGGGGTCATTCAGTTCATAACAGTAGCAAAATGACAGTTATGAAATAGCAATGAAAATAATTTATGGTTTGGGGGTCACCACAACATGAGGAGCTTTATTAAAGGGTCACGGCATTAGGAAGGTTGAGAACCACTGTCTTAGAGGGATTGTTGTTCCGACTGATAGCAACCCTGTGTAGGACATACCAAACCCTGTCCAGTCCTTTGAAATGCTGAAAGAAAATAATTGATACAATCTGTAAAGAGAATGTTTTTATTTGGTTATTTGGTTCATTTTGTTCCAGAAATTACAAAATGATGGTCAGCAGCTTGGGTCTATGTCACACAGGATTTCTGTTTGGCCCACACGATACTTAAGAAACGGGAACAAACATCTAGATGTCTAATTGTCCTTGAAAAACCTGACAAGTGGGCCCCCATTTCCATAGGGAACCAGCAATAAGGAAAAAAATCCAAGTAAGGTCTGCCCCTATAGATGGGCAGGTCCCTGCAGTTCACCATGCTCCCTGCCCCTCCCTGTTGGCCCACTCCCCTGGGGGCTGACTACCAGCTGCCATTTGGCTTCAGGCTTTCCCCAGGGGCTTCTTGGAGTCCAGTGTTTTTCTGTTCGCTTGCTTCTTCATCTTCTTTTCGGCTCTCTTTATTCATTCAGTTTACCTGAGTGGGACATAGCACATTTGTATGTGTGACCTCAGTTTCAAGTCAAATGACCACTTTCATGTATTTTATCCCATCTTGGTGCTTCTTTGTCACAGACAGTGTAAACACTAGGCAAAAGCAGTCGCTAGACGGCATGGCGACTCTGAGGGTAAGTCTTACGACAGCCATCTCCGCTACGGCCACTGGCCATTGGGTTCGTTTCCACTTATGCCGCCCGTGAGTGTTAGACAGGAATGGCTCTCCATAGGCTGTGACCTTCAGAAACACCATCTTCTGCAGCACCTTTGGGCAGTTTCAAACTGCCAACGTTTTGTTTAGCAGCTTTGTGCTTATCCATTGTGCCATCCAGGGGCTCTGAGTAGTTGACAAAGGCCTGGGCAGTGATTATAATGAGCACAGGTGGAAAAATACCTGCAGTGCATCACCTGCAGTGGGGAAAGTTGGGCACATTGGGCTCTAACTGGAAGAGTTGCCTCTAACAGTCAGTCTTACTGACACAGCTTTCTGCCTTTCTCTCCCCTTCGCAGGCCGTTGGAACGCTCCAGTGAAGATGTGGATATAATCTTCACACGCCTGAAAGAAGTTAAAGCGTTTGAAAAATTTCACCCAAATCTCCTCCATCAGATTTGCTTATGTGGTTATTATGAGAACCTGGAAAAAGGGATAACATGTAAGGACCGCACCATCCGGTGGGATATTTTCAGAGAGGGCTTGTGCTCGTTGGTGGCTATCCTCTGGGAACAGATCACAAATGGAGGGTTTCTGTGCCAAGTATTGGAGCTTCAGTTGAGAGCACTAAATGGCCATTTCCCTCTGCTCTGATTATCCCTTTGTTCGCAGTATGTAACTTGTTCTGTCGGGGCAGCCTGCGTCCCAGATGAGCTGGAAGGGTGTATTGGTTCATGTACTTATCTACGTTCTTAGAAATTCAAATATTGAGCGATCTTTCCTATTAGTCCCAGCAATAGGTGAGGCAACAGGACATTAGCTAAAGATAAGGGTCTTTTAATGGATGTTGATGGCAACGTCTCCATTTAACCTCAGTGTTGTCCTCTATTCCAAGTGTGCCTAAAAATCCACTGCCCCGGAGTCCATTCCAATGCATGCCGACCCTACGTAGTGTTTCAGAGACTGTAAATCGTTACAAGATAAGACAGCCTCCTCTCTCTCCTGATGAGCCCCTGGTGGGCTTGAACCATTACCCTTGCATTCAGCGGCCCAACCCTGAATTTAACCCTCAGGAGAAGGAAAGTGAAACACGAGGGTGGGACAGTTACATTGGACAAGGAGAAAGTTCATCTGTTTCCATGTGTTGGGATGCCTGCTGCTGCCCTAACAGATAGTTTGCACCCACTGACTTCATTAGTCAATTACTCATATGGCAGAAGTCTACATAGACCGACTTCAGAGTGATTGAGATGGGCCTCGGTGACATAATTAAGCCACGAGGCTCTCTCTCTCCCTCTCTGTCTCTCTCTCTCCTCAGATGTTGACTTTTGATCTTAAATGTGTCCCTAAATGAACGTAACATAGTTGTAGCAGTTGGAGGCATTACATGCTGATATAAAAATGCCTGGCAAAACGGTTTCTTCCTTTATCTCATTTTCAGAAGTCCCTCAGCAAATTTCCTATGTTGTTCCCTTGGCCAATGGCATGGCCTGCCAGGTTGAAACCCATCATTGACAAAGGTCAGGGGGTCACCCTGATTTAAACCGATCACGGGGACTGCCCTGGAGCTAGGGACAGAACTCATGTTCTGCGAGTACGTGGCTCTGTGGAGGCGGATGGGAAAGCGAACACAATCTGGGCCCACTTAGACGACAGGCAGGGTTGGGAGGCTTTGGGGCGAGAAACCAGCAGCGTTTGCCCTCATATCCTTGATAGAACATTTTGGAAACAACGAAGAGAAGACTCACCTACACTCCCATGATGCAGAAGTTACTATAAGCATTTTATGTGTGCACCTCAGAAAGGTTTTTATTTGCATACATAGAGACATAGGTATACGTTTGTCTAAAAAAAGCCATCCCTAGTTTGAAAATCAGTTGTTTTCTATTTAATAATGTCAGAGACATCACTTTTGGGGGGGTAAGACTCTCATTCCTGTTCCTTAAAGGCATTTTCAAATTGAACTTTCTTTTATACGGAACATGCATTTGATTGGCACATTGGCTTTTGGAGCCAAGAAGTTCATGACAAGCAAAGCCCCAACTCTACAGTAAGTCTCACACAAAGGCGAGAAACAGCAGGGTTATTGGAGAGGACAACTATCAACTCATCAATCCCCCATGGCAAGCCGATCATTGCACTTGATGGGATGCCATTGTTGCTCTTTCTCTTTGTGTAGAAACCCTGGCCGGGGAGTCAGAACAGCTTGTGCCATTAATGATGGCTCCCAGAGCTTCCTCTTGTGCAGTGAGCACTTGACTCCTCGGATCTCAACCATCCCACTTTGTTGTCATGCGATTCTTCATTGAATCATTTTAACCCTTGACTCTGACATTAATGAGAACTATCAGCTCACGCTCTATATTTATCTAGCTACCATTTTGAAAAGGACAGTTGAGTTTGTACTAGGTATTTGGGTCCGCTTTTCAGAATTATTTCCCAAGTACTGCTCCTGACGTGATAGAGGTACTAAGGTCATATATTTAATATATATAATAAAATATATAAAGATATATATGTGTCACATGAGATGATATTGTATGTAATATATTAGCATATGATATACAATGCAGTGATATGTAAATAATATGTCTATTACATAATATTTAATAAAATATATTTTATCTCTGAGATTACAAAATAAAGCAAGTGAGGTTTTGAAATTTCTATTGAAAACCATTTCCAAAAAATGCTTAATTTTGGATGCCCAAGCAACAGTGAATTTAAAAAAAAAGAAGAGACGTAATAATCATACAACAACCCTTATTGATCGATTGATAATAATTCCCTGGTCAGCTGAAAAGGAGACAGACAAGCTGCTCCAGAAAACCTGTTGCCTTAGGGTTGAGTTCACTGAGATTTCGAAAACTTAGATTAGGACGATTGGTGGTGACCCATAACCCTGTTGATTTGTACCCTGTCTAGATGAATCATTTTCAAAGGATGACAATGAAATGACACAACAAATTACACAGAGCAGAGCCAATTGTTCTTAAATTCAAAGGATCGTACAGCATTTCAGGTTGTTATTATCCCTTATTACTGCCTTATAAATATGAAAGAGCTCTGCTTAATTTAATTCTGCTTCCTCGAACGTTGATTCATAGGGCACAGCTCCTTATGTAGATGCGAAATTGAAAACGATGCCAGGTCCTCAGGGTGACGCGCAGGGGAGGCTGGGACCCTCAGCTCTGCCTAAGGCACGCTCATAATCACCACGAGCCTGGCTATACAGGAAGACTCCCTTGTATTTGGTATATTTACATGACTTTTCTTTGTCAGTGTTTCGCCAGGGTGATATTGGAACAAACTGGTATGCTGTCCTGGCAGGGTCTCTGGATGTTAAAGTATCTGAGACGAGCAGTCACCAGGTAAGATACTTTTCTCACCCACTTTTTTTTCAAAGTAGAATTTATTATTAAATTCAAGAGACATTATCCTTATCTTTCATACCATCAAAATTGCATTTCCAGACATTTTCCTTTTTCCACATAGTAATGCCCTCATCAAACATTGGATTCTTTTATGAAGTTATTCATCAAATATACGCTCCTTGTCTTCTAAGTCCTGAGTGAGCGGCCGGGTGTTGGAACACAAAATGGAAGAATACATTGCCTGCCTTTACGGAGCGGCTTTCTGGAAAATGGAAATGCGTCCATTGCCAGGTGGTAAATTGTGGTGTGATGAGAGGAGCAGTGAGCCCAGGTAGCAAACCTTTAGAAGATTCTTGGGAGATGCTGCCGGCATCTTGTGTCTTAACTTTTTTTTGGTGGGGTAGGGTGGGCCTAGGAAGTGATTCCTTCCTTGGTCTTTTCGGAGTCCCAGGGATGCATGGGAAGTAGGGTTGACCCATTCACCCTATGAGTTTTCCCTCTTTCTCGGCCTCATCGTGTGGTCACCGTTTGTCCCATGCGGAGCACTGGCTTCCTTGGGTCTCCTTGGTCACCTCTGAGGAACTTGGCTTCCTAGTAGAGACCTCCGATTCTCCTACCTCCCCTCTCACACTGAACAACTAACACGTGGACCTGCCCTCTCCTTTCACATCTGCAGGGACCCCGGCTGTCTTCTAAGGTCATGTGACCTTAGAAGATGCCCAGCACCTTCCTAGTAGTTCAAAACCAGCGACCCTTCGTCAGCCAAGCCCAGCTATGGTCATACCTCAGTATGAAAATGTCCCAAGTTCCGTAGTCACATGTTCAGGATGCAGATAGAGACCGAGGAGAGAGTATTGGGCCGTTGTAAAATTGGAAACATGTGAAGAAAAATCCAACAGTCAAAGGGACCAGTAACCTAAAGGAGCCCTGGTGGCTTCGTGGTTACTCACTGGGCTGTGATCCCCAAGGTCAGTTGGAAACCACCAGCTGCTTCTTTGGAGAAAGGGGGCTCTTTCTGATCCCATAAACAGTGACCATCTTGGAGGCGCACAGGGCAGTTCTACCCTGTCCTATAGGATCACTGTGTGTTGGCATCGACTCGAGGGCAGTGAGTTTGATTTGGAAGTACCTCACGATTGGACCAATAGATAGGATCAAGATAAACAGAGAAATGATTCAAGTTATCAAGGATTTCATCTTGCTTGCATCCACAATCAACCTTCACTGAAGCTGCGGTCTCAAGAACTAAAATGACATATTGCATTTGGAAAATCTGTTGCAGAAGGTCTCTTTAAAGATGGAAGAGCAAGGATCTTACTCTGAGGACTAAAGTGCCCCTGCACCAAGCCCTGGATGTTGCAGGATCAGGCAGTTCTGTTCTACGTAGTGTCTGCATGAGGTGGGACTCATTCAGTGGCACCTAAAAATAAGTACTGTGTTTAAGTCCTAAAGGACAGGTAACCTATAACCAATTACCAAGTGTAAATTGTGAAGAGCCATCCAGTTGACCCTACGTGCGGCAAGACAAAACACCCAGTCCTGCATCTGCCTTACACTTGTCGTTGTGGGCACAATATCAGTCCATCTTGTTGGGGGCCTTCCTCCGTTTTCAATGCCCCTCTACTTTACCACGTGTGATGTCCTTTTCCAGGGACCTGTCTCTCTTGACAACACGTCCAAAGTACTTGAGACAAAGTCTTGCTATCCTGACCGCTGAGGACAGATGCGTTTATTCTTTCAGCAGCCCATGGTGCTTTCAGTATCTTCACCAGCACCAGAGTTCAAGTGCATCAGTTCTTCTTTGGTCTTCCTTATTAAATGCCCAAATTTCACATGCATCAAGGTGACTGACAATACCCTGAATGAAGCAGGAGCACCTTAACCCTCAAAGTGACCTCCCTGCTTTTTAACACTTTCCAGAGGCCCTGTGCAGCAGATTTACCCAGTGCAATGTGCCTTTGATCTCTTAGCTGCTGCTCTGGGAGCCTCGATTGTGGATCCAAGCAAGAAAAATCCTTGACAACTTCAGTCTTTTCTCCATTTTGCACAGTTTATCACAAGGTTACCTACTGTTCTGGTTTTGTTTTCTTTACACTGGGTTGTAATCCACACTGAAGGCTGCAATTTTTTATCTTCATTAGCGTGTGCTTGAATCCTCTTCACTTTCAGCAAGCAGGCTTGTTCCACCTGCATGTTGCAGGTTGTCAATAGGCTCGCCTTCAGTTCTGATGCTGCGTTCTTCTGACCCTTTTTTAAAAAGTTCTGAGTCATTTTCATAGACACAAACCAAACGATGGTTGAGTCGAGGCTGACTCATATGGACCCTGCAGGACAGAGTAGAACTATCCTCGTGAGCATACTTCACATTTGAGAAAATACTTATGGCAACTAAATTTGAGACTTAAATTTCATAAGACGTGTGTGCGTGTTAGAGTTATGTGCAGTCACCTCACCATCTTATAGATAAAGATTTATCCCTGAAGGTTCTTGGCCAGGTAGGGATTCAGTGTTTGGAATATAGTGTTATGCTCACTGTGAGATGGTTAGCGTCCTCAGACCTGGCCTGAAATCCTGCTTTACCCAGTGTGCATGCTCTCTATGCAGCAGCGCCCTGAGAGCCCCACTAAATACTGTGTTGACCCCGGGCTTGTCAAACTGCCCCACAGCCAGGTTCTTGTGAATTTAAAGAGTGCCAGTGGGAGAGGTGACTGTCACTCTTGTTTGCTGCCTCCGTTTAACAATAGGGCCCAAGAAGAACTAGCATTCATTTTTTTCATTGTATCATGTGTACTTATTATATTTGGCATTTGCTAATAAGAAATGGACATCAAGTGGAAGGTCGGTGAGAAAGAGGGAGACCCACAAGGAGATGTATTGACATTGTCGCTACAGCAACAGGCCCCCACCTAACACCCGCTGTGAGGATGGCAGCGGGCTGGGCGCGCTTTCAGTCTGTTGTACACAGGGTACGATGAGTGGGGATCCCCTCCACTCGCCCTAATGACCACCACCGGGGTAGGCAGTGTGAGAAGCACGGGGCAGCTATTTATTTACTCCTTTCATCCTCACAAAAGCCTGTGAGTGGTAATGCTCCGGTGGATAAGTGTGGAAACTAAGTCTCAGATGGTTGCTCCAATGAAAGAATCCAGAAGTTAGGAGAAGGAAGATGAAAACTCACACAGTCAGGCTTTAGAACAATGTGCTCTCGGCCGGCCGTTACTCCTGCTACCGGGAAAAACACATTCCTTACCTGCCACCATGGCCGGTAGTCAAGGCCCTCTGAGACAAGCTTTTGGGACGAGGGAACAAGCCCAAACTCACTGCCATCAGCTCCATTCTGATTCACAGTGACCCTATAGGACAGAGTAGAACTGCCTCTTTGGGTTTCCAGTACTGTATGCTTCACAGGAGTAGAAAGCCTCATCTTTTTCTCTTGGAGTGACTGGTGGGTTTGAACCACTGACTTTGAGAGTTACTAGGCTACCAGGGATCCTTCTCTGGAAGGAGACAGATACTTTTATTTTGCTAGATGAATCCATTAGGCAAAGAAGACAGGGATTCAGGTTTCCAAGCACTGTCTCTGCACTGCAGAAAAACAGGCACACATACAGAGAGAGAGAGTTCAGAAAGGAATGTAAACAATAACTTTGTCCTCTTTGGCGATCACAGGAGCACCGGCTCATAAACAGTATGCCCTTTCCCCCCACCTTCCTTATGCAGTGGGCTGCTAACCATCAGGTCGGAAGTTCAGAACCACCAGTTGCTCTGCTGGAGAAAGATGAGGTTTTCTACTCCTGCCAAGAGTTACAGTGTGGAACCCCACAGGGGCAGCCCTACCCTGTCGATAGTGTCACTGGGAGTCTGGATCTCCTTGACGATGGCTGCGAGTTCGGCTTCCGTGTTTGGAGGCAGCACAGCAGAACCGTTCATCCAGCCTTTCCTCAGACTAGGCCTCGGCCTCCCCGCTTCCTTTATCGCAGGCTGCGGGGTGGCTGAAATGCATGCTCCTTGGACCGATGTGTCATTGTGTGCAGCTGCTGGACGGGACGAGCGGAGCCTGAGCCATTTCAGGTTTCCACGGTGACAAGGGGTCGGAGGATGACCAGGATGAACACCCTGGCTGTAGTCACTTCCTTTTACCAAGGCTGACTCAGCTTAGAGAGTGGGGTCTGTGGGCATCCCACCGCCTCTGCTCTGCCTCGCCCCTCCTCCAGAGATTCTCTCTCTCTCACATGAGGGAGCATGGGCAGAGGTGTCTCTGTCACTCTCCAAGCTGGTACAGTGACAGAGTCACTACCTAGCCGAGTAGAAATCTTGGTTTATCGTTACCGATGATTAAACTCTTAAGACTTAGGGAACTACAGTGAACCCTTTCACAATCATAAGCTTTTCAATAACTTTCCACCCCGTGTCTCAGGAACTTGGCTATAAATTTAGTTCACTTTTGTGTTCTTATAGAATTTCAGTAATAATGGTATTAATTTTTAATGAATCACAAGCTAAACTATACAGGCGAGCACAATGCCCGGGGTCCCAGCAGCTCACTAGGGTCGGATGCAATATCACGCATCCCCTTTGAACTCAGAAAGACAGGCTGCAGGATGCAGCTCCCCCTCTCTGTTTTCTGCCAATGCTTTCAGAGGCCCTGTATGCCTGACCTCGGCAGGACTTCTGCCTGCAGACTGCTGCCCTCCTCGGGGCTCTCTGCTCAGAGCCACTCTCGATCCTTTCCCGAGCCAGGCTTCACACACATGGCCTATACAGGGAACAGGGGTTAGAGAGGGTGATTCTCCCTGGTTCCTCCTACGCTGCTGGGTGGTCTTGCAGGAGGAATGGGGAAGAGAGGGCAGAGAGGTTGAAAAGATAAGGATAACGAAAAAGAGGGATATGAAGGAGGGAGGAAGGAGAGGAGCAAAGGAAAACTGTGGGTAAGGCCAGTCCCCCACAACTAATCGCGGGTTTGATAGGCACAATTGTACAGTTAAAATCTGTAGAAG